AAGCATTGAGAGATTTACATGAACTGATGCAGAGTGAAGTCAGCAGGACCAGAAAAACAACATACACAGTAACTATAAGAATGTCAATGGAAAGGACAAAGACCAAACAACTGAAACTGAATGCTGGGAAACTGTATTGACCAAATTTGACCCCAAAGAAGATATATGGGAAGGCCCCTCTCTCCCTTCTTTGCAGAGGTGGAGTGCTACGGGTAAGGAATACTAGATATTTTTGATGTGTTGATTAGTTTTACTCACCTGTTTGCCCCCTCTTCTTTATTCTTTGCTATAAGGGATTGTTCTCTGTGAGGAAGAGGGAAGAGGACTACTCCCATGAAATGTAGATGATAACTCCTTGGAATCTCCCTGTAACTCCCTAAAAAGCTTCTGCTCTGCTTTGCCATCTTGCCCTTCTGATGGGGCCGCATGGATCTAAAAACCAAAGCCATCTCATTCAGTAGTGTAATCCAGGTGCCCTCCAAATGACAAATGCAGGAAACTCTGGGGAGGGGAAAGGGAAATGATATCTTTGGATTAATCAATCAATAAACATTTACTAAGCCCTTACTATGTGTCAGGCACTATGCTAAGCACTGGGGATACAAAAAGAGGCAAAAGACAACCCTTGCTCTCAAAGAGCTCACAATCTAATGGGGGAGACCATATGCAAACAAATCTATATCCAAGATACACAGGAAATAATTAGCAGAGGGAAGGCACTGGAATTAAGAGGGGTTGGGGAAGGTTTCCAGCAAAAGAAGGGATTTTAGTTGGGAATGAAAACAATGAAAAAATGGTTAAGTCCCTCAGGAAACTGTATGGATAAATGCAATTTTCTCCTCATTTAACAAGCATTTACTGAGAGTTAACACCCACACTTGACAAACGGCAAAACTATTTGGACCAGAACTGACAAGATTGAATAAAAACTGTAATAATAGAATATCCCACTCTACCTTTATTCTTAAAAAAAAAAAAAAAAAGGAGCAGGCCTGTCTCACAGCTGCCACTTGCTGCTCTGGGCTGAGATAAGCACCTTCACAGCTTTCCAGGAAGCCAGCAGCTGGACCAGGTCAGAGTAGTAGGACAGCATACTCCAGCAGATGTTATCTTCCATAGACAATGGCTCTCTGCCACCTGCAGGGCATTCTCTGGATCAAGTGGCCAGGGCTGCCCAGAAGGAAACAGAGCAGGTGGAAGTGGGGGAAAGGGGTGAGAAGGGGGAGGATTGTGATTCTCAGATGACCCTGGGGCATCTGGAAGAAGACAGGAAACCTTCATGCTTCCCACTGCCTGCCTGTCTGACCTCAGTTGTGATTTCAGAAAATGTGTTCCAGATGTGTCCTGTCCCGCTCTAAAGAGACTTTGGGGCCATCCCTGGAGACCTGAACTATTGTAACCTAAAAACAGGCAAACAAACAAAATAGTCAAACAAGACAGTCTCTGTTCTTGAGGAGTTTACAGTCTAATGGGGGAGGCAACATGCAACCAGCATACAAACAAGATGTATGTATACACACCCAAATACACACATACACATATGTATGTATATATAATATCCATCTATATGATAAAGTGGTGATAATCAATAGAAGGAAAGCAATAGAACTAAGAGGGATTGGGGAAGGCTTCCTGCAGAAGGTGGGATTTTAGCTGGGACTTGAAGGAAGCCAGGGAAGCCAGGGGGCAGAGATGAGGAAGGAGAGTGTTCCAGGCATGGGGGGCAGCCAGGGAAAAGGCCCAGTCAGGAGATAGACTACTCAGTGTGAGGAATGGTCCAGAGGCCAAGGTCACTGAATGGAAGGAAGAGTTCTTATAGGGGAGTAAGATGTAAGAAGACTGAAAAGGTAGGGGACGGGAGCGGGCTGGGGAAGACGACAGGCCAGGTATGAGGTGATGAGACCTGCCCTAGGGTGGGGGCAGTGTCCAAGCAGAAAAGGGGGCATATTTGAAAGATATTGCCAAGGTGGAATTGATAGGAATTGGTAACAGATTGGATATGGGGGTGAGAGACAGAAAGGAGTCAGGAACAATACCTTGGTTGGGAGCCTGGGAGGATGGTGGTACCCTTGCCAATGACAGGGGAGTTTGAAGTGGGAGAGGTTTGGGGGAAGGGTGAGATAATGAGTTTGGTTTTGTACATGATGAGTTTAAGATATCTGTGAGTCATCTGATCTGAGATCCCCACTAGGCAGTTGGAGATTTAAGACTGGAGGTCAGCAGAGAGCTTAGGGCTGGACAGGTAGGTTTGAGAACTATCAGCATAGATATGATCATTGAATCCATGGAAACTGATGGCATCACCAACAGCAATAGTCTAAAGAGAGAAGAGCAGAGGGCCCAGGACAGGGGCAACACTCACTGTTATTGGGTGTGACCTAGACCAGCAAAGGAGCCTGAGAAGGAGCAGTCAGGTAGGGAGGAAGAGCATTAGGACATGGTAAGGACACAAAATCCTAGAGAGAAGAGAGTATCAAAGAGATGAGGGTGAGCAGCAGTGCCAAAGGCTGCAGGGAGGTCAAGAAGGATGAGGACTGGCCATTCTATTGGGCAGTAAAGGGGTCATTGGTAACTTCAGAGAGGGTAGTATGGATTGAATGATGAGGTTAGAAGCTGGACCATGGAGAAGTAAGAAAAGACTGTGAGGAAAATAAGAGCAGCTGGTGGATACAGAGCCAGCCTAGAAATCCCGAAGACCTGAGTTCAAGTCCTGTCTGCCACTTCTGGTTATGTTAGCCACACCCCCCCAGCCTTCCCCTCCAATGTCCTGGGAAAACTCTTTAAAACCATAAGTTATAAATTGGTAGAAGAAGTGTCCTCACCCAGGGGTTCCTCATTGCATGAAATCACAGGTATAGTCTCATCCCAAATAACAACAGTTCCCATTTGGCTAATTTAGCTCAACCTCAGGACCCTGAAAAAAACATCAATGATGGGAAACTGAGGCAAAATCCCTGTAGCTGTGGCAGGGCTTTGCCATGACCCAGTTCTGAATTTCTTCTCAGCTAGTGCTTAATAACTCCAACAATCTGCAAATGTAATAGTCTGTTTCTGCCCACTATGGAAACTCAAACTTTCAAAACATCAGAAAATGATGATTCATACTCCCAAAGGTTCCTTCCCTTTATGGCAGGGCCCTTCTGCACAGGGCAAATTCCCCTATTGCACTTCAAGTCTAATTGGGTTTGCACTTTTCAGGGTCCTCCACTGGCATCCTTGTCTGTGCCTACCGGCCTTCTCCAAGGCTACACCAAGCCAGTGCCAACTATGCTAGGTCTTGCCAAGCTGGGAAGACCCGGAGACTCAGAGCTCAAAGGAACCTTGGAGGTGGTCTACTCTAAGCTGCTCATTTTACAGAAGAGGAAGTTGAGGCCAAGGGAGGGAAAGTGACCTGCCCAAGGTCACACATAGGATCCTAGAGCTGGAAAGGCCCTCAGAGGCCAATGAGTTCAACCCCCTTATTTTACAGAGGAGAAAATCATGATAACAACGATGCTGCTGAAGATGATGATAACACTTAGCATTTATAATAGAGCTTTATTGCAAAGCACTTCACACGCTATTTCATTTGATCCTCACGAACAACCCCATGATCTAGTATTAACCTCATTTTACAGGTGAGAAAACTGAGAGACGGTAAGAAACTTGCGGAGGTTCACACAGCTACTCAGTATCTGAGGTAGGATCGGAACTCAGGATTTCCTGACTCCAGGTCCAATACTCCATCCATTCCATCCAGCTGCCCAGGGGAAGTAAGGTGATTTGTCTAAGGTCACACACATAGGGTCTTAGATTTAAAGCCCTCATTTTACAGAGGAGGAAACTGAGACCCAGGGAGGGGAAGTGATTTACCAAAGGGTAACACAAAGAATCCTAGATCTAATCCAACCCCCTCATTTTACAGAGGAGGAAACTTAGGCACAGGGAGGGGAGTGGACTTGTCTAAGGTCTCACAAGTAGCAAGCTGCAGAGCTGAGATTCAAACCCAGGTCCTGATTTCAAATCTAGCCCTTTATCTATTGCACCCTTGGGTACAGGCTGACAATGGACCCTCTGTCTATTGCCTAAGACCTAGCCTAGCTATGTGGGGAGAGGGGCTCAACACCAGAAAGCTGACGACAGGCTGATGAATTGGGGGGGGGGGGGGGCTACAGTGACCTAAAGCCATACACTCAGGCAATGAAGTAACTGGGGCGGGGCCTCCAGTGCAAAAATTTCAAGGACAGCCATCGTATTGTAGAGAGACAATTCTTCTCCAGGTGGTGGCAGCAGCAGCAGCCCTATGTCCCCAACAACAGCTCAGAAACCTCACAAAGTCCATATGCCCAATCCCCCTTGCCACCTGGCGGCCCCACCTCTGACTGAAGTAGGCCAGGGAGGAGAGAGATGGATGACTGTGGAAATGAGGCAGAGGTTTCTGCTCTGTCCTGACCTCTTTTACCCTGCTCCAGTGACTCAATCAAGACCCCTTCCTGCCAATCTATCACTTGGAGATCTGGGGTTCTTAACCTTTTTCTGTGACCTGGACCCTTATGACAAAGCCTATGGAACCCTTCTCAGAATAATGTTTTTAATTAAAGGTGTAAAATATGTAGGCTTATGAAGAAAACAAGTAGATTGAAGTATAGACTACAGATGGGAAGACTGCAATCATGTTCATTCTAGCAGCGGGTCCAATAACTATGTTCACATTTGAAGGAAACACTAAATTTCAGTTTGATGTTAGTGAAAATAAAGATGTCATTTTATTTTTCCTGTCCTAGTTCAGAGATCCCCAAAATCTATCCCAGGATGTCAGGGTAAGAAACACTTTGGTAGAGAGAATGTGTAAAAAATGTAAGGAGGACCTTACTTGAAAATCAACCCATTTGGACCCAAGCTGCTTTGAAATCATTTGGATTAATACCAGGTCTTCTTTCTCCTCGGGCAAACTCAGCCTCAGGAGCCAGTATCTTCAGGGGTTGGAACCCATGTACTAAGACTCCCCGCCACCCCTTTACCTGCATCTTCCTCTTCACTGTCTCGAAAGGATAGGAGATTGTCTGGGCAACCCCAGCAGCGAGGCAGCTGTTGGCAAAGTTCTGGAGTGGGGAAAACCGATCTCGGGGCCCGTTCCAGATGCGATGCAAGTTCACGTAAACTAGGAAAGAGCCAGCCGAGAATGGCAGAGCACCTACATGGTAAGGTCAGGAAGAGAGGCAGGTGAGCTGAGGGACAAACAAAAATCGGCTTAAAGAAAAAAAAAACTACCATTACTTTACATGGAATTTCTCTTTCTATCTTTTGCTGCTGGGCTCTGTTAGTAATATATAGAAATGCTGATGATTTATATGGGCTTATCTTATATTCTGCAACTTTGCTAAAGTTGTTCACTATTTCAAGTAGTTTTTTAGTTGATTCTTAATGATCTAAGACAATTCCAAAGGACTCATGATGGAAAATGCTATCCACATCCAGAGAAAGAACTCTGAATGCAGAATGAAGCATACTATTTGCTCTTTTTTTTTCTTTTTCATGTTTTTTTCCCTTTTGTTCTGATTCCTCTTTCATAACATGACCAATGTAGAAATATGTTTAACATGATTGTACATGTATAGCCTATATGAGACAGCTTGCTATCTTGGGGAGGGGGAAAAATTTAGAATTCCAAATCTTATAAAAGTGAACGTTGAAAACTCAAAATAAATAAATTAATTAAAAAAGGATAAAAACAACAACCTGGAGGAAGCCAGGTAGAAGAGCTGTGCTCAAATTAGACCCCTGAAAAATGACAGTGGGAAACAATTGATCTACTCTACCTAAGGAAGAAGTAAGGAAAACCAGTAACATCTGAGATTCACGACCTTTTAAAATGAGGACATGGACATATACTTCCACAATGGCTGGGGAGGGGTGGAACGCGGGGGGGGGGGGGGGGGGGGCGGCAGTGTTTTTGTCTAAATCTTACACCGGGGTGGGGATTCCATCAAAGGGCCACACTTAGGGACCTAGAGGGCCTTAGGGTCTTAGACACTAAAACAGAAGTTCACCCAATGATGGATCGAGAGCTAGAAGGGACCTCAGGTACCATCCAGGCCAACCCACTCGTTTTACAGAGAGGGAAACTGAGGCCACGGAGGAGGTGAAGTAACTTAGCAATAGCTCATATTTCTACGGGGCTTTAAGATTTGCCAAGTGCTGCATATGTATTTGTTTATTTGGCCCTCACAACAATCCTCTGAGATAGGTGCTATTATTGGTTCCATTTTGCACATAAGGAGACTGGGGTTGAGAGATTTGATCACTGTCAGAGAGCTAGTCAGTGTAAGGCTGGATTTGCACTGTGGTCTTCTGGACTCTAAGCCCAGCACTCAATCTAGTGTATCGCCAACTAGCCACACAGGATCCTAGCCTGAGAAGGAACTTCAGGGGCCAGCTGGTCCAAGCCCTTTGTTTTACAAATGAGGAAACCGAGGCCTTGGGAGGTGAAGTGACTTGTCTGAGGTCACACAAGCAGTCCGTAGAATGTGAACCCAGGTCCTCTGATTCCAGAGACAGTGGTCTTTTCCACTGTACCATGCTACCCCGATGTCATGGAATGACAGAGTTAGAAGGTACCTTACACATCATTTAGTCATTTTTATAGTTTATGGGAAACTGAGGCCCAGGGAAGGGAAAGAGCCTGCCCAAAGTCACACAACTGATTAGTGGTACAGCCAGGATTAGAAGCCAATGTTCCAGGGGTTCTTTCCTCTATAAAATACCATTTCTTGGTGGACCTTCTGCATAATAAGATAGAGTACAGGAGTTTCTCTTCCAGCTTACCTATAACAGTGAGGGAAATTCCTCGGTAAAGAGCCAGAAAGCCTTCCTGGTGATAAATAGTACAGAACGCATGGGAGATTCCCGTGTAAGAGGGCTTCAGCAGGTTCTGCATAATCAAGCGAGTTTTGATGACATCGGTCGGGTAGGTGACAATGGTGGCCACCGTGCCAGCGAGACTTCCAGCCATGATTGCGCTCCACTGGGAAACATAACCCAGGTCATCCATGAACAGCAGGAGGAACCTACGAAGGCAAGACAAACAATGGCCAAGCATTGTCCTCTCCTTCGGGACCATCACCAAGGCAGCAGAAAGGACGTCGAAAAGTTAAGAGGGCTATACACACATAAGCTAGGGTTAGCAATGCTGTTACTGACGAATCCCAGATCTGGGGCTGGAAGGCCCCTCAGAGGCCAGCTAATCCATCTCCATCATTTGTTTTTCGTTTTTTTGGTGAGGCAACTGGGGTTAGGTGACTTGCCTAGGGTCACACAGCTAGTGAGTGTCAAATGTCTGAGGCCGGATTTGAACTCAAGTCCTCTCACCTCCAACTGAGGCCCAGGATGGGAAGGGACTTGTCCAAGGTCTCATATAGTAGCCCAGATCTAGAGCTAGGAGGGACATTTGAGGCCATAAAGTCACTTTCCTCACTTTACAGATGAAGAAACTGAGGTCCAGGGAGGTTAATGGACTTGCCCAGGGTCACACATAAGATCCTAGGTCTAGAGCTGGGAGGGACCTCAGAGACCACTGAGTCCAAACCTCCTCACTTTACATATAAGGAAACTGAGGCCCAGGCAGGGGAAGGGACTTGCCCAAGGGCACACAGGTTACTACAACAACAATAATAGCCTATTTTTGATGCCAAGTAGTAGCATGGAGATAACTCTGAGTTCAGGAAGGCTGTGAAAGCGCAGGACAAATTTGGTCAGTTTCTCCCAAGCCAGGAAGGCTTGGGGTCCATCTTGGCCCATGCTGTCTTAGGACAGCAGCCAAGCCTCAGTCAGGAAGAACACTGAGGTTCACTGAGAGGTGGCCTGCAGGGTAACAGATTTCTTGTCCCAGCAAGACCTCTGCCTAAGTAAAAGGGGTGTGAGCTCCAGAGATGGAAGGAGCACCTAAGGATCACAGTGACTACATTGCAGACACTCAAAGTATTGAAGGAAGAGTCATATCACCCTGCATTTGCTAGCACAGGATCATAAGCTCAGGTCCTAGGCTCCCAGATCTAGAGCTGGAAGGCCCCTCAGAGGCCTAGATCTAGTCCGATTCCCCCATTTTACAGAGAGGGAAACTGAGGATCAGACAGGGGAAGGGACTTGTCCAAGGTCACTTGTAAGATCCTAGATCTAGAGCTGGAAGGCCCCTCAGAGCCTACATCTAGTCCAATTCCCCCATTTTACAGAGAGAGAAACTGAGGATCAGGCAGGGGAAGGGACGTGTCCAAGGTCAGTTGTAGGATTCTAGATCTAGAGCTGGAAGGTCCCTCAAGAGGCCTAGATCTAGTCCAATTCCCCCATTTTATAGCAGAAGAAACTGAGACCCAGAGAGGGGAAGAGACTTACTCAAGGTTACACTGCTAATATCAGAGGCAGAATGTGAACCCAAGTTTTCCAGCCTCCCAGGCTGGCTCTCTATTTACCATGGTCCCACTTAAATTCTAGTTAGTGAAATCTCTCCTCCTTTAGTTTAAGTCAGAAACTTCTTGTGGCTTGACTAGTGGCCTTTTCTCACCTACTGGCAACTTTAGAAGAGGGGAAGTGGAGGGGGGAATTGTAGAAGAAGAACTAGATCAGGAGCCAAAAGGCCTCCCTGGATCTAGTCCCAGCTTTGCCTTTGAGCTGTGTGACCTTCAGAAAGTCACTTTCCCTCTCTGAGTCTTAGCTGCCTCATCTGGAAAATGAGAAGAATGATAATAGTGAATGGCTGGGCAGAGCAGGGCAAGTGGAAATAGCCCTGGATTTGTAATCACAAGACCTGGGCATGAATCTTGGCTTTATACAATTTTTACAATCTGTGGGTCCTATGGAAACTCATTTAATCTTTATGACTCTCAGTTTCCTCATCTGTTCAAATGAGGGGGTTGGTCTTGATAGCCTCTGAGATCTGTCCCAGTTCTAGCCCTAGGATCCTATACGTGATTCTTCCCTTCCCTGGGCCTCAGTTTCCTCCTCTGTAAAATGAAGGAGTTGAATTAGATGAATCTGAGGTCCCTTCCATCTCTAGGGGGCCTAGATCCAGAGCTAGGATCCTTGCAATGTAGGAGCTCTTCTCATCCACTGATGAAAAGGTTCCTTCTTTTCAACTCCCCCACCCCCAACCAGTGAATTGACTTGAAATATAAGCTAGTACCCCCACTAACTTCTGGCCTTTATTTAAGGAATTGCCCCTTATGCAAGTACGAATGTCACAGAGTTCCTCATAAACTCCACCATAAAGGTCTTTCAGGGGAAAAGTAGGAATATTTATCGAGAACTTTCATGGAAGGCATTCCCTAGCCAAGGAACTTGGGAGGGAGCCACTCCTCTTTGCAAACAAGGTCAAAAAACAAAGGGGTCTAGGGGTAGCAAGAGACATGGTATTTTCTGCCATTTGAAAAAGAGGCAATCACTTTAATGGAAATACATTTAATTTAATTTTCAAAAAGCAAAAGAGGAAGAAAGACAAGAGCAGAATAATTTATTTGAAACCAGAGATGCCTGACCCCTTTCCACTCTCTCAAATAAAGGTTTTCCTTGGCTCTTGAGCTTCTTTACCTTTCTGCTAATTGGTGTATTCTTCTCTCTTCCCTCGGTTTCCATGTTTACCAGGACCACCTTACAATAGAGAGATGCTAGGCCTGGGCAATGGGGCTTAAGGAGCCTTTACCTCCCAAATAACTTCTTAATCCCTTTAAAATAATTCTCTCACAAGGCTGGAAATGGATTACTTTTGTTGGTATCAAATCCCACCAATTATAGAATTGGCCCTTTTAAAAGGTAACCACCCTTTGCCTCATTCACACCTCAAGATTTAATCAGATTGCTTTCAACAGAACTCACAGGGGACCCAGGAGCAGGGAATGAATGAGGGCCTCGGCTGAAAGGCATGGTAGTTCTGATTTGGATTTCAGGAGAAGCTAGGGGTAGTTTTTGGAGTCTGGGGCACAGCTCAGGGAAAGCTGGCCTGGAGGGTGAGGCTTAGGGTACAATGAAAGGCCCAAGATTTCACCTGGGTGGGAATTTTTTTCACCTCCACCCCAGCAGAACACAACCCACAATTTGTTGCCTGAGTCACAAAGAGGTTAAGCGACTTGACTTGCCAGTGGTCACACACCTAAATGTCAGAGATGGAACTGGAACCCACATCATCCTGATTCCAAGGCCAGAAATCTACCTGCTCTGCTCCAATGCCTAGTATGAAGACACTACATTAAGCTCAAGGAATATTTATTATATCCTAAGTATAATGTGAGTGTGTTGTATGTTGTGCAGGCCTGCATTAAGGTCATCGGGTCAGTATGTATTCCTTTTTCCATGCACACTGATCTGGGCACTCTGTGCTACCCTCAGTACCCTTCCCTAAAATGCCCAGACATTTCAATTCAACTATCTCTGTGAGCAAGCAGTGAGTTCAGTGAAAACCACCAAGGTCCCTGAAGGGCTCAGGAAACAGAGGCAGATAGGTCAAGAAACATCTCAAAGTTCTGCACACTTATACTACTGTTTATCCAGGCAGGGGAACAGGTGCCCAGGCACAAGGATGGGGTGGGGCGGGGGGGAGAGGAAGGCAAGGAAAGTTTTAGTATTTGGAAACTGGCATTCACCCTTCTGTCTTTTCTAATTATCACAGAGCAAAAACAAAAATAACAACAAAAGACCTCCCTGATTCTCAAAAGCATAAGCCCCCAGTTGCCCATGAAGCCTCTCTGATCACTCCAGCTGGAAGTGTCTCACTCCTCAGAACTCATGTTGAATTGTGTGTGTGTCTCTCCTTGGCCCCAGTTCTATCTCGTACTACTCTTCTGTATGACTGCCTTAGCCTTCTCACAAGTGGACGGCAGGGCTTACGTCCCATTTGATTCTGCATCTTCTGCCGGTGTTTATGAGATCTTTTACAGAACAGGTACTCAATGAAAATCCAAGCAAACAAGAAGCTCAAATAAGTTAAATTTTCCCCTATGCTATTGGCAGCGAGGATCCTGACACCCCAGCTCCCTTGGAGAAAATTAAACGACATCTAGTATAATGTCAATGTTAAGGATGATAACTTGAACATTCAGCTTCCTAGATTTACAGCTGGAAGGGACCTCAGAAGCCATCTAGCTCCCTCCTCTCATTTCACAGATGATAACGACACCTTAGCTATGACTGCATCCGGATTTTTTTTCTAGTTCTAGGGGTTTTCTTGGCAAAGATAATGGAGTAGATTACCAATTCCTTCTCCAGTTCATTTTACAGGTGAGGAAACTGAGGCAAACAGGATTAAGTGACTGCTCAGGGTCACACAGCTAATAAGTGTCTGAGGCCAGATTTGAACTCTCCCTGACTCCCTAGGCTGCCTGATATAGCATAGGACTGGGATTCGGAAGCTATCGAGCCCCACCTTGTTATTTTACAGAGCAGGAAACTGAGGCCCAGAGGAAAGGAAGTGACTTGACCAAGGTCACACATAGTATCCTAGATACAGAGCTGGAAGAGAGGCCTCAGAGTCCATTCACTTTAATCCTCTGATTTTAAAGAGAAGGAATACTCTCTACAAATATAAATGGGACCACTACACCATACATTAGGATCCCTGCAGTCCACATATTGACTTAGAAAACCACATTTTCACATTATCTATACTCTACTGTATTTTTATTTATTTTATTAAGTAATTCCCAAGGACATTTTCATCTGGTTTGTGCACTTGCTGTTCTGACACCTCTACTCTCTATCTTTTTTTTTGGCTTTCTGGTGAGGCAATCGGGGTTAAGTGATTTGCCCAGGGTCACCCAGCTAGTAAGTGTCAAATGTCTGAGGCCAGATTTGAACTCAGGTCCTCCTGACTCCAAGACCAGAGCTCCATCTACTACGCCACCTAGTTGCCCCAGCTCTCTACTATTTCATGTGCTGATCTTGGCTCCCATGGATTCAATGATCTCTCTAATGACGACTCTTAGATCTACTTCTCTCTGCTGATTTCTAATCTCATATTTCCAACGGCCTATAGGACACCTTGAGCTGGACATCTCATAGACATCTGAAATTCAACATGTCCCAA